GCCACTGACAGATGAGTGGTGTAGGTCTGTGCCTGGGGAACTGGGGCTGGCCCTAAAATATCTTTTGAAAAATAGTTAAATGCAGGCTCTGGCCTGGTGGAGCAGTGGTTGAGTTCACGCGCTCCACTTCAGCAGCCCAGGCTTGGTTCATGGGTTCAGATCCCAGGCGCGGACCTACATACCACTTTTCAAGCCACGCTGTGGCAGGCATCCCACATATAAAGTAGAGGAAGATGGACATAAATGTTAGCTCAGGACCAGTCTTTCTCAGCAAAAAAAAGAGGAGGATTGGCAGTGGATGTTAGCTCAGGGCTAATCTTCCTCAAAAAAAAAAAAAAAAAGTTAAAGGCATTCATAAGTTGAGAAGTTAGCAGGAAATAATCAGAGACCAAAACCTGTGTTAGAGCAAGAACCCAGAGGAAGAAGACAGGTGAAGTTGACTGCCTCCTTGAGGGCAGTCGACAAAGTGAACTGAGGTTGGTGAAGTCATATCCTCACAGGGCAGGGGGACCGGTGACAAATTCTAGCACTTGCCCCATGGAGACCTCTTACCCACCCCTGCATAAAGCTGAGGCCTCAAGGAGATCCACCTGTCCCTGGCCCCTTCAGATCTCTCGCCCACACACACGTGTGCACACACACAGGACAGTTGTCTGTGATGAGCCTCTGGGACTGGAGTTCTGGGGAACGGTCCGGCTGCAGATCCAGACTTGGGAGTCATCAATGTTGAGATGCTAACATAAAGCCTGAGGTCCCAAGGAGGGTGATTACACGGGGCAAGAGGCCAGGGACCGAGCCCAGGCGTGAGGGGACATTGGGAGGCTGGGAGATGAGGACAGAACCTGCAAGAGACAGAGGAATGGGCAGGTGGGGGTACCGGTAGCACAATGTCCTGGAGTCCAAGTGAGGAACAGGGAGTGATGGCGCGTCCCCAGGGCCAGGAGCACTGAGATTTGACCACTGAATTTAGCAACGTGGAAGCGTCTGATGAGTCGACAAGAGCAGTTTTGGTGAAATGGTGAAAGCCGGACAGCGGTAGGTTCAGGAAAGGAGAGAAGGACTGAAAAGAGTGAGTATGGAAAATCCCTTCAGAGAGTTGTCAGGAAGGGGACACGGTGGTGGCTGGTGACGGGGTAAGGGAGCAAAGAAGTTTTCATTTTTACTGAGAAGAGCATTGACCGCCTGTTTGTAAGCTGGGAATCATCCAGTAGGAGAGAGAAAGGAGTGGGAGTGTGAACGGGACGCCACCTGAAGCCGTGTTCTGAGCTGGGACCCCGTCCTTCCCAGACATTCCAGACTCAACAGCCCTCATCCAGGGCCTGGAGTCTGCATTTTTAGCAAACTCTCAGGTGGTTCTGATGCAGAGGGGCACCATGGCCACGTGGAGAGCCTCCGGAACAGGATGTTGTTCCTGGGCAAACCCATCATGTTTCTGTGTCTAGAAGACCAGCTGGTGGTGCTGTGATGTGAAACGGTGATGTCAGCGTCTTGCTGCCCTGAGCTTCTGCAGGACTGTCAGAGCTCTGAAACCCAGAGTACGGGTTACCTGTCGCTGCTGCACGACCCACATCAGAACTGGACCAGGTTCACTTCGCAGCACTTGTTCCTAGCAAATCAGAGTTTAGGAAATTTCTTTGTTCTTTTCTACATTTTGATAAACCACCTGTTTCATCACTTATTCTATAACCTTCCTGGGAATTGATATATCCTACATGTGAATTGGCGATTTCTAGAATGATCTCTCCCCTTTTTTGGAGATAAAGCTGACACTTGCCCAGTTTTTATTTTCTACGTCTTCATCGGTAATATTTCACAACCTTTACCTTGCGTTTACTTTTTATAAATACTCGCCTTTTACTGATGTCAAAAGCAGAGGATTCAGAACAGAGGGATTCTGTGATGTTAGCTCAGGGATAATCTTCCTAAAAAAAAACAAAACACCCAGATGGAAGCAAGAGGGGAACCTGTCCAGGCAGATCTGCTTCTAAGTGTCTCCAGACAGGACAGTCCTATTTTCTGGGTCATTTCATGATTATTGAGCAACTAGAATTAAAATATTAGCCATGCCTCATTTTGAAATAAATGCCTTTTCTCATTTATGGGGCGGGTCTTTTTATGTAGGACTCTGTGGATTTTAATGCCGTTCCCATAAGAAAGAGAAGCTGGTGAGTTGGAGAGACTCACACAGTAGGACACATCACCCTGTCTCTTCGCTGCACCAAAGTTGCACCACAGCAAGAATCCACACGAAACTTGAAATGTTAGGAGAGATTTGTGTCCACACCTTTGATTTGAAATGTTAAGGTGATGACTCAAGAAGGTGAAATACTGACCTGGCAAGGGAGTGGGGTGGACTGGGCAAGAGAAGGCAGCCTGGGATGCTGACTGGATGTTCTTAGAAAGGTGTGAAGCTACCTTCAGCTATTGACATACAGGTGCAGGGACCATGGATGCAGAGCAGATCCTAAGGTTCTAGGGGTGAGATGCTGGATGCTGGACGCTGCGGGCTCCCGCTGTAGGAAAACTGGCCGCCTGCTGGGCAAACCTGTGTGATGATGGGTCCACAGAGGCGGAGAGGGGCCCACTGGTGCCCTGGCAGGTGGATCGGCCTCATTTACCACAGTGGCAGGTGTCTACCCTCTTAACAGAGCTGCTGAAGAATAGGCATGATCTGGAAATCCTCAAGAAATGCACACAGGTGCCGTCAAATGGGCTCAGGGATGAGACCTTCAGATTCAGAGTCCACGCCCCCGTTGTCACCTGCCTCCTTGGCCGTTTCATTGATGCCGCATTCTCTCTCCCACCCTGCATCTTGGGATGCTGTCAAATTTTACTTTCTATTGGGCAGTGTGACCCTGAATGTGTTCATGTTACCAAAATGACGTCACAGAAAAGTGTGATTTGGTGAACTATTACCTTTCTCATAACATGGGAGTGGCCTTAACACAGCTGCATGATTGAAGTTATTATAGGAGTGAATTCGGGATTCTGGGTGACTCACACAGTGCGGTCCTGAAGGTAGAGGATGGTAACCAGCCCATTGCCAGGAAGGTGCTTCATTAACAAGAAAGGGGCATTTTCTTCTTATTTAAGGGACAAATAAGCTTCCATTTCTTGCTTCAATTGCTAAGTCAATGGCAGAAAAGCATAGCATCTATGTTTCTGTGGGGACTTGGGGAATTTTTTTGAACTTCAGCTTTTGGCCTTGTTTTCTAAGTGGGAAATCAGAGTCTGCCAAATGCAGTTCTGGAAAATGCAGGTGACACAGTGAACCCTGAGGTTCCCATTTTCCTCTTTCTCTCCCTGTTACAAATAGAGATTTCCCTATAAATACTGCACAGTCTCCTGGAGCTGAAAGGGTCCCTCAGTTCCAGAAAGCCTGGTGTAAAGCTGAAATGTCTTCAAATGCGATCTCCGCCCATAACTATGATCTAAATACAAGCCCATTCGTTGGCTTCTGCCCCCAGCATCCTTACTTATTTATTCGAGAAGTAATTACAAAGCAATGACATAATTCTTTGTCTTTTAACTGAGCTCACATAAGCCTCATGAACTGACCAAAGGGAATCCATCTTGGCTGTATTCGCTGTTTGTTTTCACAAATAGAGAAAACATTGCTTTTACAAAAATGGCAAATAATTCTTGAAGATGTAAATATTGAAGTGTTTCCTTTAACCATCAGAATAAAAAAGCAAAAGATAACTGCAGAGGCCACTGACGTGCCCAGGGAGGTCTTACAGAGGGTCCAATGTTGGTTCCATGGAGATAAAATAATAAAATGTATAACTGGGGAAACTGAGTTTTTCATCCATTTTAGCGAGAGCCCACTGTAAGGCAAATTATTGCTATTATGATTTCGTTCCAAAATATTTGCTCTTCGACTAAAATAGAGAGAGGAAGTGTGTGGCTTTAAAGGAGTCCTTCACTGGAAACTGAACTCTGGCACTTTTCTAGCTGTGTAACCTTGGTCAGAATGAAATCTCCGCTTCCTAGGGTTTTTTAAGGAATAAAAGAAATAATGTATGAAAAGTCCTGAGTGCCCGGTACACAATATGCCTGCAGTTACTGGTAGCTATTTTTGGATGAACTTTTTAGCCAGCCCATTCTGATGTTCTCCATTACTCTGCCCAATGCCAAAACTTTAGCAAGGGACCAAGGGTCAGATCGGTGGCTGGAGTGGGAAGGGAATCTCAGAGATGCACAGAGAAAAATGCAAGGAACGGTTGGGCTCTGACGTCAGGAAAAACACCTCCTTTTCAGTTTTTCTATTTCAAATTTCTGGCGTTGGGTGGATAGCCTGCCCCTCTACAACTGAAGTAATGCATCTTTGGGGGCAGGAAGCTCTCTGATGAACATTTGTAGTGATTTCGGCCAACGTTTTCATTTAAAGATCATTGGCTTTTTTACCAGCTGGGAAATCTTGCTTCTGGACTGGCAGAAAATTTTATCCAAATGCTTCTTTGGAAATACAATCTCTAGAGTGGCAATGAAACATTCTTTGTGTTAGCTGTGGCAAAAAAAAATAAAACAAAAAAAAAATCAGAAATAGTATAAGAAAAAGAAGGAGGAGGAAAAAAATCCTCATTTCACAAACTACATCCACATATGGAAACTCTCTGACCTTTCTGAGCACGGCAGTGTAGACATTAAAACAGCCATTCTCAGAGGGTCATTTTGTTCCACAGTTTCCATTTTCATCCCTGTCCAGACGCAGCATAGATTTCAGTGACAGTCCCTTTAGATTTCCTTGAGATGCTGGTGTGAACAAATGACAAAAATCCATGGAGAAAAGAAACAAATTTGCCGTTTGCCTGCAAAGGGGGTAATTGGCACAAATAGGCAAGTTAAGTAAAATTAAGTGGCATCACAACTTTTAAACTCCAATCCTAAAAATCTGTAAAATACCCAACTAGTCAGAACTTCCATGTAGGATGAGACTGTGATCAATTCAAAGGAACCTCGTGATTTGTGTTTTTATTGTGTGTTACGCTGTCTTGTAGGAGGAAGGCATTGTGAAGGAAATTGACATCAGCCATCATGTGAAAGAAGGATTTGAAAAGGCCGACCCTTCCCAGTTTGAACTGTTGAAAGTTTTAGGACAAGGATCCTATGGAAAGGTAAGTTAGATCTTGGGTTCCCTCTGGGTGAGTCCCATTGCCCTGTGGCCAGCCCCCATCTCAAGGAGGCAGCCCTTGAGTGTCCGGTGACCAGAGAGACGGTCAAGATGCCTCCTGAACACAAAGGAAGCTGGCCCTGTGGCTCGTGGAATGAAAATGACAGGCGGTCCTCCCATTGCAGCGTCCTGAGTTGACTGGAATGCATGTCAGAACCGTGACCTCACTTTGCACGGCTAGAACTTCGTTACCGCGGAGCCGTGCAAAGCGAGGACTGTCTGCACCCTTGCAAATACCACCCACGCTTTCCCTCTTCTTACAGCTTCCCTCGGCTCTTAGTTTATCCCCATGGAGAGTAGGCTTGTTGAACGTGAGCCAGTGCATCTCTGGAAGCACATACTCAACAGGTATTTTTGAAAAAGGAAAAAAAAAAAGAAAAGAACAAGAAAGAGTGAAAAGGAGAAAATAAGCCCTTCAGGACTGGTCCCCGTGACTGTCACTCAGGAGTCAGGAAGGCGGGACTTGCAGTCCGGCTCCTCCCCTTCTCCGCCACATCAATTCCACAGTTACTTTGCCTCTCCAAGCCTCAGTTTCCCCATCTGTTGATCTATTTTTTTAAATGGGGATAATATAAACTATGTAATTATTCTATGGTTTAAATACGACCTGAATCGCATCTAGCACTTGCCTCAGATGTATCTGTGCGTAGAATTCTTAGTTTTCTTTTTCACCTTCAAGTTACAATAAAAGCTAATTCTCAGGAAATGAGAAACAGTTGGCTCTTCATTTAGGGTCACATCCGTATACAACAGAACGTCAGTAAATCTTTTCAGTTGTGATGGTGCGTGAGTTATCCCAGTGCACTGCTCATTTCTTTACATCCTTGCTGTAACTTCAGGAAAATACAGACTCTGATAACAGGATTTCCAGAACATAAGGGCCGGAGAGAAACCTTGAAGCCGACCTTTCCTAGAGGGTAAGCAGATGGGTCCTGGCCTTTAGTGTAACTATTTTATACGGGATGTGGACATTCACCACGTCTCTCCATGCCTCACAGGACTCGTGCCAAGACGCACTGTGGCTCCTGTTGATTTCATGTAGGATTAATAGTACGTTAATGATGTTCTGGAAAATCTCTTACAGACCATGAAAATTTGATTGTTTGCAAAATTTATCTTTTGGCGTTCTTATAAGGTAGAATATCTTTTTCTTTTCCTTTTTTCTCTTCCACGTGCTAATATGATAAGGAACATGTGTTTATAATGAGGTATGTACATAAACATCTCAGTTTGAACCATTTGAAATTTCCAGTGTTCAAACTTTTGTGGCCTCTAAAAATGGCTATTTCATATGGTTCCTAAGGTATTTTTAGAAGTAGGGAGATGAAAATTGAGTCTCTCACTGGGTAAATAGCCGTGACTAAAGAGAGAAGCAGGACCTGTTTCTGTGGTAGGGGAATGTCCTGCCGTTAATTAGAAATGTTGGAAAAAGGGAGAGTGGCACGTTCTTTCCCTAAGAATCATGATCTGGAAATAGAGACAAGCAAAGGTGTTTCCCTTTTCTACCTTCAAAGATGCTGCCCTCGTGTTGTTCCTTGAGAACGAATTCAGCCTATGTGAGCACACGGTCTGCTGAGCCCTCTTGGTCTACACTGAAGGCGATCGGGGTGTGCCTCACACACAGGCCCAGGACGCGTTGGCCAGGCATTGGTGGACGCGCTCCCTTGTTGAGGGGCTCATTTCTTTGTGGATCCCTCCATCTCAAGGTGTCTGGAAACACCAGAGATGGGAAAATGCTTTCTGAGCTCTATGGAACCATAGCTCTGAGGCTCCGGGTGTCCATTCAGAGTCTCCACTGAACAAAAGCCACCCTTGGAAACGTCCTCCTCCGAGACCTGAGGGCTTAAAAATAAAAGGAGAAAAGGCTTTTTCAAATTCCATACAAATTTCAAATTTTGAATTTCAATTTTGCTTTGAAAAAACATTCTTTAGGGAGCCAGCCCTGCGGCCGAGTGGTTAAGTTCGCGCACTCCGCTGGGTTTTGCTGGTTCGGATCCTGGGTGCCGACACGGCACCGCTCATCAGGCCACATTGAGGCAGCGTCCCACATGCCACAACTAGAAGGACCACAGCTAGATATATAACTATGTACTGGGGGGATTTGGGGAGAAAAAGCAGGAAAAAAAAAAGATTGGCAACAGTTGTTAGCTCGGGTGCCAATCTTTAAAAATAAACAAAGAACCAAAAACCATTCTTTGGAAAGCAAGTGAAGTAATGGTGTTTGGCAGAATCCGTTTGGAATGATAATCTTCATCACGTTCCATCCTTTTCCTTCCCAGTCCTTCTCACAACTTCTCATTTATTATTCCATGAGGGATAAAAAAGCAAAGTGCAGAAGGTAAAAAAGGGCAAGAGAATTCAAAGGACAAAGCAGTGGTAACGCCTTCGGATATGTATCCTCCATCAACTGCTTAACTCACCAACTCAAGCACTGCTTGTGTGTTGGCTGGGTCAGCCAGGTCAGAGCCATCGTTGACCTTAGAAGTGAAGTTTGGGGGCCGGCCCGGTGGCTCAATGGTTAAGTTCGCACATTCCTCTTTGGTGGCCCCAGGTTCACCAGTTGGGATCCCGGGTGGGGACATGGCACCGCTTGTCAAGCATGCTGTGGCAGGCGTCCCACATGTAAAGTAGAGGAAAATGGGCATGGATGTTAGCTCAGGGCCAGTCTTCCTCAGCAAAAAGAGGAGGATTGGCAGCAGATGTTAGCTCAGGGCTAATCTTCCTTAAAAAAAAAAAAAAGAAGTGAAGTTCAGGGTTCCCGGTGGACCAGGGGTGCTGTGTTAACACAACAGGAGCCTGGAAAGAAGAGGCATTATTCTGGAAAGCTTAACTCAGAAGTCCCCTGGGAATGGCTCAGAGCCAACATTAGGCACTAGAGAGCCACAAATAGAAATTATAGGGGCCGGCGCCGGTGGTGCAGCGGTTAAGTTCGCATGTTCTGCTTCTTGGCGGGCCAGGGTTCGCCATTTCTGATCCCGGGTGCAGACATGGCACCGCTTAGCAAGCCATGCTGTGGTGAGCATCCCACATATAAAGTGGAGGAAGATGGGCATGGATGTTAGCTCAGGGCCAGTCTTCCTCAGCAAAAAGAGGAGGACTGGTAGTAGTTAGCTCGGGGCTAATCTTGCTTAAAAAAAAAAGAAGTGAAGTTTAGGGCTCCCAGTCTACCAAGGGTGCTGTGTTAACACGACAGGACTCTTGAAAGAAGAGGCATTATTCTGGAAAGCTTAACTCAGAAACTCAGAAGTCCCCTGGGAATGGCTCAGAGCCAACATTAGGCACTAGAGATCCACAAATAGAAATTATATTTGTCCACACAGGGCTGTTTGTTATGAATTTTTTATAAAAGCAAAACTAATGACAAGAAAGGGAAATGCCATATGTTCTAATGCCCCGTTTATTTTCTTCTTCATCTCTTAATAAAAATTGTATGTCCTATGCAGGAGTAATCTTCATTTTGCTGTCTATAAGGGAAAGACAGGCAAAGCTACATGTTTTCCTCCTGCAGGAAGCTCCTGTTAAACAGCTTTCCACCTCCTGTCTCTGCTCCGAAGAGTAAAGAGCTGGTGTCAATCTGGACTCCAGCCCCCCCGGGGTCATATTCACCTGTCACTGGGTTTCTCATTCTTTCATGCATTCAGTGACTGCTGATGCTGGAGATGCAGAAATGAATGAAATGCAGTCTCTGCCACTTAGACCTTTGAGCTAGTGCCTGCTTCTGATCCCAAACTGGTCCCTGACCTTGACCAGTCTTCTCCGCGTCCACCACTCTCTGCTTGTTCAGCCATAGGACTGTTCCTCACACAGAAGCAACACTAAACCCCAGAGGAATGAGTCACTGGAGGAGCATCTCTTACAGGGACAGCTGAGGCTGGGAGCCTCAGGGTTACCCCCTGTACTGGACCACACTAACGGTGACATGCACTGTCATCTCCAAAGTCAGTCCTGCAAAGCAGTGGGAGCCTAGAAACCAGTGTGCGGGAGCAATTTGCTGGAAGTAATAGATACAATCTCTGGTCATTGGTAATTTGTTCAAACCATCATGATTTCAGTGCTATCCAGAGAGCATGGGGGAGCAGTCGTACAAAGGACAAGAGACACACAGCCTTACCCTCACACCGAAAGGCGATCTGAACGTTGAATTGAGAAAGCAATGAAACGCTTTGGAAAATCTGGCAAAGTGCTTTCAAGCGTTGAAATGAGTGATCCAGACCCGATGTTCCCGTGAGTTTAGAAGAAGGAGAGATCGGGGAGCTGCCCCCCCCCAAAAAAGCGATGTGCCTTGGCCCTCTCCCCATCTGCTCGCATGCTCCTGTGCTCCCTTATCTGGATAATCAACAGGGGTCAGTATGGAAACATTCTTAAAAACGTTCTGGAGAATGGTCCATACATTATGATTCCACATTCTGAGAAGGGATCAAACCCAAATCAAAAAATGTCCTTGCCTTCCTGTGACTTAATTGGTGGCATCGTAAGAATGTGTCTTTAAGTGTCTTTCTTTGGGGGAACATTATTACCCCAAGGTCCCTATAGGGTGCACAGCTGCCATCCACTTGTCTCGTGTGTTAGAGGCCATTGCAGACCGATGGCGATGTTCCAGATCTGAGAGAGAGCTGAAAATTCTGCTCAGAGAAGCGGGTAGTGGTTTTCCTGATGACAGTGACGCATGAAGATTTGGGGCAATTTAGAATGCCATAGCATCGATCTCCACGTGCGTTCTCCCGTCACGTCTTTGCAGCGTCGCGGGCTGAGCTGCTGAAGAAGCAGTTCCAAAAATGAAACGAGGGCGCATAGAAAAAGCCAACTAGATTAAGTATCAAAGATTCAGTGACTGTATCTGCTGAAATTGTCAGAGTCGTTTGGGAACTTATTTCACTGCATCCAAATGTATTCCTAAATTGCGTAAGGATGACGGAAGAAGAGCAGAGAGAAATGCTAGATGCAGCCGTCCAGGCGTGCCATCCCTGTGGCTGGTAGAGCAAGTCTCTTCACTCATCGTTCAATTCACTTTTGAAATTGATTTTTGCCATATGTTGTTGTTTTGCAAGATGTTCCGTATCTCCTGTTGGACACTCTGCTTCTTAACACTGTCCTTCCTGCTCCACTACTTGTGGTAACTTGCAGGACCTGACGCATGGTAGGAGCTTGACAGATATTGACAGAATGGAATTTTGTCCTGTTCTTTTCAAAAGGAAGAGTAGAACTCTTTTTTAAAAACGCGTAAGTGTAAACAGCCATGACTGTCAATCGTCTCGCGTTTAAAGCTGGAAACACAATAGAGAAAAGAAGTTTTATATGCAACTATCTATGTGAAATTTGACATCATTTAAACTACATCTTAGCTGATGGCTGTGTGAACTCGGCTTCCAGCGTAGACGTACGTGGACTAGGGTTTCCCTTCTCCTTGAGTTCATGTACGTGCCCTCATCTGTATTCGCACATGCATGCACTTGGATCCTCCTTGTATTGTTGGGGAAGGTCCTGCAGGGGGAAAAGGTAGAGAACGGAATGAAAAAGGAGACAGAAAAGATGGTTCTGGATATTCCAAAGGCTGGACCTTCCAAACACAAATCCTTCCTATTCTTTTCTTGCTTTTCTTCAGCATTCCCCATGAAAGGGGAGTTTATCATTGTTGCTAGTTCTCTGATTATAAGAACGCCTCATCTGGGGGCTAATAAGTCGGTTTCACTGTGATAGAATGGGGAGATGAGTCTGCCCCCCAACCCAAGCCCTCTGTGGGTTTCAGCAATGATCCACGGCACCTTCTCCACTCGGTGACTCAGGGACCCAGGCTGCTTTGCCTGTGCAGCCCCGCACATCTGTCCTCATCGCCACATCAGGGAAAGCAGCAGCTGGAATGTTCTGTGCCAGCTCTTCAGTTCTCTGGCCCACAGGGTCACGCTCACCCCCTCACCTAATGCAAGATGACTGGCCAGCAGCCACAAACACAACCATCCCTCACCCCCATCCCTTTCAAGGAGCAGCTTCCATTCCCATGTGCTGAGACACTGGTGCTCTCATCCGCGTCCCCGCAGTAGGGCCCCCAGCCTCTCCCACCTGCTCACTGGGCTGTGCTCATCACCCGGACTCCTGGCTGCTCGCCTCCTCCCACCTGCCTGCACCGGCCCAGGAGGGACAGGGCCGGCCACACCTCCCTACTGACCCCAGTTCCCCACAACACTACCAATCAGGTTGACATCAGGTGCCACGGAAGGGCTGGAGAAATGAGAGGACTTACAACATCATTTTCTGTGTGCACAGCCTGTGACGTCCCATAATTCAAAGAAGGGCTCAAAAGTCAAACGCGAACGTTTCTCTCTGTATCCTACTTCTGACCACTGCTGTCACAGCTCTACCTGCCTGTCGGGAAGCTCATTCTCAGCAGGATATTCCCCAGACAAAGCAACTCCCGGGGCTGCAGGAGGCCTGTTGGCGACAGAAGGGCTTGTGCCCCACGTCCTGTGCCTGGTGAGGGAGAGGCCCAGACTCTCTCCCCAGGAGTCTGCGCCACAGGCTTATTTATCCGGACGACAAGCAAAAACCCGTGGACACACACGTACACACAGACACACCACGCATCTCCCAAAGATAAATACTAATTCTCAGCAACAGTGTAGTCCAAAACCCAAGAGAGAAAGGGGAAACCTATTTCTAATTGCACAGGATTTTCTGGCACCCTCACTCCTGGAGGCAGTGTCTGTCCTAGGAGCCCTGCCGCCCTGTCCTCCTTTGCCCCCACTGGTGTCTGGGCAGAGGGGAGGGTGTTTCCGTTGACACAGGATATTCCCGTCTCAGGAGGGAACTGTGATTTGAGTGGTGACAGCGATCAGGAAGGAGCAGCGGGAGCAGTTCCAGGTCAGGAGGCAGCTGGATGTCTCCAGGGCACGCACTGCAGCCGTGAACTGATATGGTGCCCCCGTTAGCCCCCGTCCATGTGCTGGGAGTCCGTGTCTTCCAGGTCCGCCTTCCCTGTGTCTCCAGAACAGACACTGCGGTCTCTGTGTGGAAGGCAGGTTCAGTTTGCACCAGCGGACACTGTTCTTGGAGCTGCTGCCCTCGGTCACTTTCTTCCCATCCTCTCTCTCTCTCTCTCTTTGTCGTCTACGGTGGGAAGCTGAGAGTGCAGAAATCCACCTGCTGTATCTCTCTCTGCACAAGTGGAACTGAAGCCTCTTCCACTCATTGCACACTTAGTCTTAGTTGGCGTGGCTCCCAGGGCTGGAATCCCTGGGTGTGTCTATACTGGCAGGTCTTCCTGGCTTTAGAGGCTCGGTGAGGAGGCGTTCTGGGAAGAAGTGAGTCATCATCACTCAGGCGGCACCTCTGTCTCCCGGACACAACTCCATCTGCGCGTGTGGTCTCCAACAAGCCAGCTGATTTTTGCATCTACTGGGAAATATTGTTAGGGAAAGCAAATAACTATATTTTTTTCATTTTCATGGAAGTTATATATATATATATATATATATAAAGGATATCCCAGGTTTGTTTTTGGGGTTTTGGGGCTTTTTTACTAATTTTGTTTAAAAGTCATTAATATGATTTTAAGCTCGGCCCCTCTCGATTATCTTTTCTTTTTGGTTTTCCTCCATGATACGCCTCAGAAAGTGTTTAGAAAGTGTCAAGTGTCCACATGAGTATATTTAACAGCCATTTGGAAACTAACTCTATCTTTAAGCTGAAGCTACTTGAAGCTAAAGTTTGGGTGAGGAAAGCTCAAAATAAGCAAAACTCTTTTATCTTGGGAATCGGAGTCAGTTCTGTGTGATCGGCAGTAATTCTCACAGTGGGGACTTCACCTTAAACCAAATGACCTCCCTTAAAGCTTGTGAATATTGTCTGTTTTTCTAAACAACTGGTCTTTTTTTGAAAAAGGAAGGTGGTGTTCTTCCTGATAGAAAATGTTGAATAGAAAGATAATGGTACCAAAAACAGATAATTCTTCTCACAAACACGTCCTGATGTTCATCAGAGAGCCGTAGTAAATTACATGAAACTAATGAAACTAACCCGTCAGCCTAAGTGTCGCAGAAAATTGTAAATGTAACATTTCCCTACAGCGTATTTGTTTGATTGGAACTTTCTAGACTTCCTGGCGTATCTCCTTGTCAAATCAAATAAGGAAAATGAGTTTGAAGTTTTATCAACTTCGGATGTTGTGTCTTCTCTTTCGAAGGTGTTCCTGGTGAGGAAGGTAAAGGGATCCGACGCTGGACAGCTCTATGCAATGAAGGTTCTTAAGAAAGCGACCTTAAAAGGTGAGAATTTCCCAGAGGGGCTGGCTGCGTTTGAGACCTGCAACTGTGGCTTATGCTCTGCTCGTTATTGGGGAAAATATCCATGCTATTGAGTGTTGTGTGATTTGTGAGGGTGTCTCTACAGGAGAATATCAGGCACATACCCTCTATTTGATAATAAACAGTGTAAACATTTCCCTGAATATTTAACATACCCTGCTCAGTTCCACAGTCTTCAGAGAGAAAAGCCATATTGCGTAAGTACCATCCTTCCACACATGCTCTGCGCTGAGCATTGAGAAGGAGAGCATCAAGCAGGCTGGACGGCCGTCTGTGGACAACAAGTCAGCTTAAATATCATCCATCAGACTGGATTGCTCAGTTTTAAACAAAATGTGATTAACGGCTGCATTCTTTCCCTTTTGTCCCGGTGACTGGGTTTCAGGAACACAGTCCAATAGCGCATCCCCACTCCTCTGTGCTCGTACCCTCTGGTAAAGTATATGCACTAAACACATGGTCAAAATAAAGCTGTTACGTAAAATCTGTATTCCAAGCTCATGGTCATTTGGCCAACAGTACATACGAACTGAGCGCCCACTACATCTGTTCTGATCACTTCCTCTTCACCCGTTGGTGAGGAAGGGATCCCACGCCCTAAATAGTGTGAGATGGCCGAACCCATGATACGTGGCACTGGGCAGGTAAGGCGATGGAGCTCGTTAGTCACATATACCAATCATCCCCTGGGGAGGAGGGCACATGCACCACACTGGGCCCTGTGGGGCTGCACTCAGGAGCATAGTGAACAAGCAGAGACTGTGGGAGGCAGGCTTTGTAGCACCAAGAAGATGGGGTGGTCCCTGGTTCCACAGACGATGCAGTGGGCTTATTTGAATAATCTGAGGGCTGACAGGGAACTGAAGCCTGTTAGGTTGAGGACGAGGTGGGCTGTAGCTGGTCTGGCTTATGGGGGAACCAGCAGGGTCAGGTGCCTTTCCTGCCAGGTGGGGGGCACACCTGTAAAGGGCGGGGGAACTCACGGTTCCTTCCGAGATGTCAAGGCAACATGTGAAGTTTTAGGTCTTGTAACACAGTATCCTCAGCAAGTGTTAGGGGGGACAGTGCAAAGAATATGTCATTCTCGGTGCTCAAGTCACTTGCCGTCTAGCTAGGGAAATAAGATATATATTTTTTGAACCACATGTAATCCACAATGTAGGGCAATGAATGAATAGACCAAAGATGTGCAGACGTAAACATCTTAGATAGACGAAGAAAAAAAAAGAGGTCCTCCAAATGAGGTCATTCAAGAAGGACTGAGAAGGTGAGTGAGACTCAAGACTGAAAGGATGGAGGAGTAAGAGACAGGAGTCGGGTTGACATTGTCAGCACAGCCAACAGTAACCGCTTTGGCCAGGCTGGAGCCGGTACCAGATTCACCTCTGTGTGTGTTTGGGGAAAGTTGTTAAAAATCGATTCCCAGGCTTCTCTCCTGATCTGGTGAATCATGATCTCTTAGGGGTGGAGCCTAGAATTTGACTTTTTTCCGAGTTGTCCCAGTAATTCTTACGTTCACCAAAGTTTCAGGTTCTCTGATCTGGGCCTTCTGCTTTATTAGCAGACGCCTGAGTTTTTAACTCAGTGTTATCAATAGCAGCATAATTTAAACCGTGCTCTTTATAATCAACCTTTTTATTGTAGCCGTGATAACGTTTCTAAACCTGTTTGTCTGTCAGACTTGGCCAAATATTCCAAGATTCTCATAATAATGTAATTTTAAAGAACTGTTCTTTAAAAATATATAGGAGACAAAGTGACGTATGGGAAAATGTACAGGAAACAAAGCAGATTTTGACTCTCTATCCCCAACTTTTAGCAAAATAATCTCTTAACAGTAGTTCCGTGGAAATAGAAAATTAAATTAGACATTTCTTAGTTCAGGGTCATCTGAATGTCTGAAAAATGAACAGCTGCTCTGGCACCTGCTCAAAAGGTTAAACACCAAGTCACCATATGACCCAGCTATCCTGCCCCTAGGGACGTGACCAAGAGAAATGAAAACACACGTCTGCACGAAAACTTGTATGTGGGTGTTCACAGCAGCACTGGCCACTTCACAACAGCCAGAGAGGGCAAAAAACCCAAATGTCCATCAACTGATGGATAAATAAAGTGTGGTGTAGCTATACAACGTTCCACTGTTTGGCAATAAAAGAAACGAAATACTGATAGATGCTACAATGTAGATGATCCTTGAAAACATTAAGCCAGTCACGAAGTTCCCCATTGTATGATTCCATTTATGGAATGTCCAGAACAGGCAAATCCATAGAGACAGAAAGTAGATTAGTAGTAGCCTGGGGCCAGGAGGTTAGGGAGAAAGGGAATGATGGTTAATGCGTATGAGGTTTCTTTTTATAGTGATGGAAAATGCTTTAAAATTGAGTGTGACGATGGTTACGTAACTCTGCGAATATTCTAAAAAACCGTTGAATTGTGCCCTTTGAGTGAATTGAATGGTATACAAATTATCTCTCAGTCAAGCTATTATTTTTAAAAATGAACAGCTGCTAAATAACATGGCTATTTGCTTAAACCCACTCTTTCATCCTCAAAGCATTGAAATTTACTCTCAAACACAGAGCAGGCAGCTTCCTGTGGTTGAAGAGAAAAACAGGTAGAAACGGGAAGCTGTGATGGTTCAATCTTATAATCAGATCGTGCCCGGTGATCGCAGACCATCTGACTTTCCATCTAAAGATTCTGTTTTTACCTCATCAGCGTGTGTGCGGTGACCTTAAACGGTTCCTTTACTCCTTGAGTCACAACTGTTCCCTCTTTCCCCTCAAAAATGACCTCACCCTCTCCTGGGCCTGAAAGGAGAAGAAGGAAAAAGTAGGACTGAAATTGGAAGCACTAGGAGAGACCCTATGGCTGCCTAGCCTGCTCTGGAGGAATGGAAGAAAATCCGGGCGCTGGAGAGTTGTTGTTTGTTTAACCTGTTGCTAAGCCTGCGCTCCGTCAGCATTGACCTTGACCTCTGAGCTCACGTGCGAAGCTCTCCCTCTCCATGCCTTCACACTCCGTGGGCACATGAGCCTCCACGTTTGTTTCTTGTTCAATCCAGTGCCCGTGAGAAAGTGTTCCTGCTACAATGTTACACAGACTGGGCAGAATATTTATATATATGAAACTGTGTATACAGAGCCATCATACTGTTGTTAAATACACGAGTTTCTCCATCGGCACAGGTAGAGGCATATATATGAACACACATTCAATATATGTCCTGCTAGTCGGAAATATGCCAAAATGAAAACGGTTCTAAGCTTATTGGTAGCTTTTATTTTCTTCTCTATACTCTATATTAAAGTTTTCAACAGAAATCAAACATAGTTGACTTTTTATCATGTCAAGTTATTTGTGAAATATTCCAGAACAATATGCTTGACTATGTAAACTCCTTTTTACATTGTGAGAATGAGCCATGGAAGCATACAAGAATAGAAAATTTTCCCATTGCCCTATGCTCCTTTTAAACCAGCTTTAAAACCAAACATTGTTGTACATCATAGACTTTTTAAGTTTTCCATAACGGTCCATCACGAAAGAATATTGTTTTCCAAAAATGCAGTTGGAGTTCATTTTTTTAAGAGAAAATTAAAAATCTTTACAAAACAGTCCTCTCCGCGAGGTGGCTCTTGGAGGCATCATAGGAGGACCGAGTATGTACAGAAAGGAGGCCAGGTCTCTATGTACATCACTGACCAGACTTCCCCTCGGAAAGGATGCCTGCCCTCTCTAAACCTTCATTTCTCCTCACTCGCGAAAGAAGAGGGTTGGTTCAAAGGATTATTTCAAGTTGCTTTAGCTCCAACGCCTCTGCATTCCATCAGCCTGAGTTACTCAAATATTCCATAACTCATTCTCCATCTTAGACCATCACCAGTTTGCAAACGAGTTAGTAATCCTGAAGGATGTGGAAGGAAGAGGAGTGCACTGTGACAACGGCGGTGACAATCGCCACTCCCAGACAATGGAACCTGGAGTTACAGCCAGCCACTCAAAGGAAAATGCAAGGAGTTTGAATAGTGAAATTATTTTGAAAAGGGAAAATGAACAGGGGGGCGGAGGGCTTGTGGGAATAATTGTAAAACTCCAGATTGTTTCTCAAAAACACGGATGCCTGTCATGTATGCAGAAGTGAGAATTGTTGTCAGTGGGATTCCAAATACTTGACATAAAAGATAATAGTTTCTGACAGCTCTATTTTATCCTTAAATAAGTTAGGAGTTGTCAGGCGCCTGCCCCCTCCTTTCTTTAAGGAGGTTGCACATCATTTCTAAGGGAAATGTCAACTGCTCCAGCAGCTGAAGGTGCGAGAAGCTGGCAGGCGAGTGCTCGCTCCCCCCGGTTCCCGGCCCCCTCATCTCAGCGCATCCTCCCCGCCTCGCGTGGATGGTGTTGCTGTTCTCCTAGCTGTTTAACAACCCTTTGAAAATGTTCAACTTCTCTAATTGACAAAGTTTCTGCATTGGTGACTCAACATTGAGTTATTAGAAGTAACAATTCTAGGTAATGTATTCCAAAGAGAATGAATTCCAAAGGGGGATGTCCCGCTTTGAGTTGTAAGGAAGTTTGGTTTAAAAGACTGCGAACGTATTCCCAAGCGTGAGACCAGAGAGGAAGCATTGCCATTCCCTATGTGGTGAGTTGGCAAGTGGGCACTGTCACCCACGTGGATGACAAGGGTTCCCAATCTTGGCTGCAAGCTGGAAATGCCTTCGGGACTTTCACAAAATGCTGACGCTCGGGGGCCACTCCCCGGGTTCTACATTAGTTGGTGTGGGTGTGGGCTGGACGTGAGAATTTGGAAACCTCCCTCTTGTGCACTGCCAATGAGGGGACACCCCCATGCAGTGGTTCGGAGCACAAACTGGACCCTGGGGCCTCATGGAGTTTAAACTCTACTGGCTGTGTCACCTTGGGGAACCTCTACTGCACTCCTTTTCCTTCTA